TGTTTTTTTTACTTTTATTCTGAAAAAATAAGAGTTTCACAGCAAGTTGTAAAGATACTATATAGGAAAGTATTGTGTACTGTTCATCATTTCCCCCAATTAAAATGGTTACATCCTAATATATAAAAACCCAGAGTCCATAACATATAAAATGACCTTAGGCTTGACCGACTGGAAGTCAGTCCTGAAGTCAATGCTGGATTGCCATGGCAATTCAGCACTGACTGCCACTGGTTCGGGCATGGCGACCCAGCACTGACTACCGAGGGGCTGTGGATCAGGCCCAGAGAGAGGCCCGAAGAGAGAAGCAGGGTCTGTTCCACAGCCTTTTGTGGCAGGTGTTGATTAGCTCTTGCCTCTCTCTTTCTCTCCCTGCTTTGCCAGCAACCACGCCTCTGTTTCTCTCCGGGCCTCCCAGGGGGCTGTAATCAGCCCCACCTTTCTGATCAGGCCTGGACATAGGCTCAGAGACCCTGACTGGCATAGAAACTGACCATTCAGAACCAAGTCGGCGTGAACTGTAAGGAGCCAATAGCTGCCTAGGAGGCATAGCTTTTAATGCTGACTGGCATAGAAACCAACCAATCAGAATCAAATTGGTCGTCAATGGAGGGCAGTTTGGGGTGAGATAAGGCAGGCAGAGGCAGTTAGGGGTGATCAGGCCGGCAGAGGAGAGCATTTGGAGGTGAGATCAGGCTGGCAGAAGAGGGCAATTGGGGATAAGATTAGGCTGGCAGGAGAGGGCAGTTAGGGAAGACCAGGCAAACAGAAGCAATTAGGGGCAATAAGGCCCGCAGAGGAGAGTAGTTGGGGGCAACCAGGCTGGCATGGGAGGGCATTTGGGAGCAAGATCAGGCCAGCATGGGAGGGCAGTTGGGGGTGAGATCAGGCCAGCTAGGAAAGAGCATTTAGGGGTGATCAGGCAGGCAGAGGCAGTTGAGAGCAAGATCAGGCCGATGGGAGAGAGTACCTGGGGGCTAGATCAGACAGGCAGGGGAGGGAAGTTAGGGGCGATAAGGTAGGCAGGCAGAAAGGCAGAGAGGTTAGGGCAGTCAGACAGGCAGGCAGGCATAGGGGTTACCGGCAATCAAGCAGGCAGGCAGGTGAGCGGTCCCAGATTGTGAGAGGGATCTCCCCGGTGGGATCGGGCCTAAACCTGCAGTCAGACATCTCCCGAGGTGTCCCTGATTGGAGAGGGTACAGGCTGGGCTGAGCTCCGTGCACAAATTTCATGCACCAGGCCACTAGTCTTAATTATAATACACTATCAAAACAATCATATTGACATTGGTTCAGTGCCTTTGTATAATTCTGTTTCATCTCATTGCTTGTGTAGATTCATGTAACTGTCACCACAATTAAGATACAGAACTAATTCATTACCACAAATATCTCCCTAATGGTACTCTTTTATCAATATAATCACATACCCATTCTCCCACAGTCATCTCTGCCCTGTGGCAACCATTGGTCTATTTATTATGTATAATTTATCATTTTGAGAATGTTATATAAATGCAGTCATAGAACATGTTTTTGTTTTGAGCATATGATCTATTGATATTTATATATACAAATAGGTTTGTTGTGTTTCTTTACATTTCAATTGCAGTTTACATTTAATATTATTTTGTATTAGTTTCAATCAGGTGTACAACATACTGTAGTTTAGTTTTTTTTTAAACCATGAAACTGTTTGCAGTGTTATTTTACATTCCTATCAGTAATACATGAGAAATCCAGTTTCTTGCATATCCCTGCCTACATTTGATAGTCATTTTTTTTAATTGATTAAGTATGTGGTGATATGGTGCAATCATGATCTTAATTTTCATTTGAAGTGATCTTTTTGTAGTTTTAATTTGCATATCCTTTAATGACTAATAATACTCATCTTTTAGTATGCTTATTGGACATTTGCAAATCGTGCTTTGGAGAAATATCTGTTCAAATTGTTGCCTTTTTAAAAATTGGGTTGTCTTAATTATTGAGTTTCAAGAATTTATATATTCTGAACACTTGATATTTCAGTCTTTTAATATCCTAGTATTTCATTGTGGTTTAAACTTGCATTTCCCTAATGACCAAAGAGGTTAGGCATTTTTTTGGCATACTATTTTGGATATGGTATTAGTCATGTTGATGTGGCTGAGAAAAATACATTTATTTACTTACCCTGTTGATGGTCTTTATGTAGCTATACATGTTTTTGTTCTAGGAATCATGCTGAAAGAGCAGCCCCTGCTTAGGATTTATTCTTGTTTTAGAAGGAAAGGGGGAAAACTAGTAGAAAAGTACTAATATATTTTGAAGATTCTGTTTGGATTTAGTATAGGTCATGCACATTCATATTCCATAGGTTTCAAGTATATCATAAAACCATACTCAGTGTCAGTAGACCAGGGAGGTGTCCTCCCTTCACAGGAGGCATTAAAAGTCACATGACCATAGTTGAGATGAATATTTTTTTCACTGAACAAGCAGAGGGCATAAATACTCTGGAGTAGTAATAAAGTCTGCCATCTTATTTCTGAGGTGCTTGTTCAATTTTCTTGTTATGTTCTGGTATTCTTGACTATTTCTTATTAATTCCTTGTGGGGAGTTTTTCCTCCTTTTTTCTTTTTCTTAGTAAATTGTGGATATAAATCCATTGTTGCTTATATATATAGTGAAGACTTTTATTCTCTATGATTTGCCTTTTTAATCTGCTAATGATGTCTTTTGTTAAATAAAGTTTTTTTTTAAAATATATTTTATTGATTTTGTACAGAGAGGAAGGGAGAGAGATAGAGAGTTAGAAACATCGACGAGAGAGAGTCATCGATCAGCTGCCTCTTGCACACCCCCTACTGGGGATGTGCCCGCAACCAAGGTACATGCCCTTGACCGGAATCGAGCCCGGGACCCTTCAGTCCCCAAGCCGACGCTCTATCCATTGAGCCAAACCAGTCCCAGCAAGTTTTTTAAAGTTGAGATATATTTGACATTTTAGTTTCAGACTAGGTATACAATATAATGATTCAATATTTGTATATTGTAACGAAATTCTGAATTTCATTGTTATCTTGTTTACTGATATTTTCCTTTATAATTGTGTTTTTATTTCTTGTTTAATAAATCTTTCCCTACTCCAATATTATGGAGAGAGCTATTTTCATTAATTTCAATTTGTAAACCACTTAGAATTACTGTTTAGTTGACATTTTAACATACTCCTTTAAGTCTAGAAAAGAGCTAACATGACCTCTAAGTGGTTTCTAAGATCAAATTAACTCAATTTACATATAGAAACATTGATACTAAATTCACATATGTGTAGAAGGTATACCTGTTTCCTAATATAAAAACATGTTGGGCATGTTTAAAATTTTTACTACATTTAAAACTGCAAAAATTCACCTTTCCGTATCCGTATCTTTGGCTACCAATATCACTATTTCTCAGATGTTATCAGCAACACCTATGCTTTAAGTGAGGCTATAATTTCATCTTTCTGAAATTTACGAGTTTCCGTTTTATTTTTCTTACAGGCTTTCTTAATTTCTTTCTCTTGTCCCAAGCTGTCTCTATAAACTTCTAGTGAAAGAACCGAAGGGAATAATTTCTAAACGTGTAGTACCGAAGTTGTTTAAATAATTGTATTTCTATTAAACAAACACATTAGTAGTTTGACTTTCTTCAGCAAAGACTGAAGTTGTTCCTTGCAGAAGAGGTACTTATGATACTTCTAAACATGAAATATCTGTTGTGGTACCATTGCTCCTCTAATATTTATAGGGTAGTTTGGGGATTAAGTTTTATCATCTAATAGACCAAAATATTTGTTCTTAAAAATTGACTAAGTTAAGCAAATACTAACATTTTAAATAGGTTAATTTTTACACTTGTGCACAGTATTTTTGTTGTTGTTGTTAATCCTGACCTAAGGATATTTTTCCATTGATTTTTAGAGAGAAGTGAAGGGAGGTGGAAAGAGAGAGAGAAACATCAATGTGAGAGAAACACATCTATTGGTTGCCGCCTGCATCTGAGGTACATGCCCTTGACCGAAACTGAACCCTGGACCCTTCAGTCTGTGGACCAATGTTCTGTCCACTGAGCCACACTGGCTAGGGCTGTGCATAGTATTTATTATTGTTCTTAAATGGAAACTTAAATCTTGGTAATAGAATTTAGGGTTATAATGAAAGTCTGTCTGACTTTTCCTTTGGCATTGACCATTTAGGTTTGGAAGGCAGCTATCCTCAGCACTATGCCACCAACACCAACAACCATTTAGGTTTGGAATTGGTCAAAACTCTTACCTGAAAAATAGAGTATTTATTTAAATAGTAGTTTAAGAAATAGTACACATTAAAGATAATTTTAAAGATTAATGGGTGGAAAAAATAAGCAGTGAATAAAAGGAGTTGGCCAATATATATAGAAAGAAATTACATCTTTGTGTTCAACCTAAAAAAGAAGGTATCTAAAAGCAGAATTCTTAGGGAGTGCTGCACAAAATATTTGCATGCACATATATTACAAAAACTTAATATACTAAGTTGTCATTGCTGTTGTAAATCCTGACCGAAGGATATTTTTCCATTCATTTTTTAGAGAGAAGGGAAGGGAGGTGGAAAGAGAGAGTATATTAAGTATATTAAGTGTAATTAAAAATATACTACTAAAACAATGTCAGGATGCAAATCCTAAAAATGGTTTATGGTACTTCAAATGTAGCATGTCAGAGGACTGGGTTTAATCAAAAAATGTTCAGGATTATGCCTCCAGTTATGTGATGACCATTCTGTTTTTTAATAACTGTCATGTAGATATTCAGTAATTTTTCTTTTCTATAAAGTACATTTCCAACCTTTAGTTTTTGTAATTCTTAAGTACTTCTTAAATGCCTTGATATTCTAGTGAAGTAATATACTGACTTTTATGTTTTTAGTAGTAAATATGGATCATTATTTGATGTTTGTTTTATTAACAGAATATTACTCTTGCTTTACAGCGGGGATCTGATGAGCTTCTTTCTTCTGGCATCATTAACGGACCTTTTACCATGAACAATTCTAGTCCTCCTATAGGTGTATATGGTAAGTTTCCTTTCTTTCTTTCTTCCTTTCTTCCTTCCTTCCTTCCTTCCTTCCTTCCTTCCTTCCTTTCTTTCTTTTTTTTTCTTCAAAATCTGAAATGCTTTTTTCTCCATGGGTTTCTTCTCCAATTTTTTTTATAGTGTTCTTATTTTGCTCATTTTATAAGCATGTTGAAGTTCCACTTTTCTATATATATAAAAGACTAATATGCAACGTATCCCCTTGGGAGTTCAACCAGGAGACGAGGAGTTTGATTGCTCGTTATGACGTGCACTGAAAACCAGGGGGTGGTGCAGAACAAAGGAAGGCCCCAGTTGGCCCTGATTGCCAGCCAGGCCTAGGGTCCCTACTTGTGCACAAATTTCGTGCACTGAGCCTCTAGTTCAGGCATCTTCAAACTACGGCCCGCGGGCCACATGCGGCCCGCAGAGGAGTCTGATCCGGCCCGCCAGGTTTTTTGGGCAGTGAGCGCAGCCGAGGTGTTACAGTAGGAATTAGTAGTTCATATAGTCTGGCCCTCCAGCTCTCTGAGGGACCGTGATCTGGCCCCCACTTTAAAAAGTTTGAGGACCCCTGCCTAGTTTATGTATAACAAAAACTAAAATTTATTGCAGTGAAGTTCATATACATGAAATTAAGAGTTATATAGTTCTTGCCGAAACCGGTTTGGCTCAGTGGATAGAGCGTCAGTCTGCGGACTGAAAGGTCCCAGGTTCGATTCTGGTCAAGGGCATGTACGTTGGTTGTGGGCACATCCCCGGTAGGGGGTGTGCAAGAGGCAGCTGGTCGATGTTTCTCTCTCATCGACGTTTCTAGCTTTCTATCTCTTTCCCTTCCTCTCTGTAAAAAATAAATAAATAAAATAAAATAAAAACAAAAAAAATAAAATACAAACAATAAGCATATTAATGTTAAAATTTTTAAAAAAAACAGTTATATAGTTTTTGTAAATTTTAAGGATTAATTTGGGTTTAATTTGATAATTCCTTTTTAGTTTGATGTTCTGTGTGCTACACAGTTGTGATAAAACTATCAATAAGTTGGTGACCCTTCACAATTGAGTAAAAGAAGTATTAGGATCAAACTCTTGCAGTATTGATGATGGATTTAGAATAGGAGTGTTAAAATTTTAAGATGACAACATGATTTTTAAAAATTGAAACATACCTTGTGGGGAGGGGAGAGGAGAGCCTGGGAAGGGGGGTAAAGGGAAGGAAAATGGGAAATATATATAATATCAATAAAATATATATATATTTATATATATTTTTTAATTGAAACACAATTCACATCCCATAAGATACCACTTGATTTAAAAATATTTTTGAAATTTGGAGTCTGGAGACTGTAAAACATGTTGGGAAAGTGTAACACTGGAGGGAGAGTGAGCCATTAAGAGGCTATTTATACAGTAGCAGTAACAGTTGTGACAGAGAGAATTAAAGAACTTGCAGAAGGTGAAATTGATAGTTGTCAGTGATTACTGTTTGAATAAGAGATTGCATTGATGCTTTCCAGGTTTTGGACTTGGAAAGTTGAATAGATGGTGGTGCCACTCTATATTAGAAAATGTAGGAAGGATAGAATTGGACAACATAGCAGGTTCTCATTTTTATATATTGAGTTTGAGTTTCTCTGGAACATCCAGATGGAAGTGTCAGGTAGATAGTGGGTTCTTCTGGTCTCAGCATTGTGAGAGACATTTGGAAGTGAATATCATACACATTGGCAGCTGAAGCCAGGAGAATGGAGAGTCTCAGAAAAAGTGAGATTTTTATCTAGATGTTTTTGTAGTTATAGGGAGTTAGAGAACAAGTGGACCTCTATTTCAGGACCCTAAGTTACATGGAGTTTGGGAAAGTGAACAGCCTTTATGTGAGGACACACTGAGAGAGGTGGACCAAATTTATTTAAGGCAAAAGATGAAAAGAAAATTGAATGAAGAAATAAAAAATGTATGGAAATTGTTCATTCATGATATATTGCTCTGGAGGAAGCATCTCAAACTCATAGTGAGCAGTGGGCAGCAAACTGCAGCTTGCGAGCCACATGCGGCTCTGTGGCCCCTTGAGTTTTTAGCAAAGGCCAGCTTATGGGTACCCTAATTAAGTTAATAACAATGTACCTACTTATATAGTTTAAGTTTAAAAAATCTGACTCTCAAAAGAAATTTCAATCGTTGTACTGTTGATATTTGGCTCTGTTGACTAATGAGTTTGCCGACCACTGCTCTAAGAGGACTAAATGGAAAGATTTTGTAGGAAGAGCAACAGCATAGGATTTGTTCATATAGAAGTATGGACCACGTAATATGGGCATGAGACTAAAGCAGCTTTCTCAAATTTGAGCTAGCATCCAAATCACCTAGTTCAATAAAGCCTGATTGCTGAGTTCATCCCTAGAATTTTTAATTTATTAGATCAAGGATGGGTCCTGATAGTTTGCATTTCTGCAAGTTCCCAGGTAAAGGTGATACTGCCATTTGAGGAACCATAGTCTGAGAACTACTGAATAAAGGAAAAGCTAGAATATGAAGTTCTTAAACCTTTTGATCCGGTGGGCTTTAAAAAATATTCTGCCCTTACTCCCCAGAGTTATAGTATATCGAAGATAGGGCCCATATGTTTGTTCTTATTTTAAAAATTAAGGTCAGGTAGTTTGTTTGGTCTTGGTTGATTGATTACTTAGGAAAAGAAAGAAGTAGGAGATCTGACTTTAGCAGGCGGCAGCAGTTTTGTTTTTTATATTTTGAATTTCTTTTTTATCCCATTTCCTAAGTACATTGTTTCTTTTCCTGAAGTGCATCCTCTTTAGTAGCTGTTTCAGCAAAGCTCTGTAAATGGTAACCTCTGACACTGATTAAATATGTCCACTTCACTATTGCTATTGAATGATAGCTATTTAGAATTCTAGGTTGATAGTTATTACTCTCAGCACTTTGAATGTACTATTTTACTCTTTTGGCTTCTGTTGTTGAAAAGTCAATTGTCAGTCTATGTTATTATTTTGTAGATAGTAGTATTCTCTGTAGTTATTCTTAATTTTTTTTTCTCTTTATTTTTGTTCTGTGGTTTCACTACGTCTAAGTATGCATCACAGGTTCTCAACCCTGGATGCTCAATAAAATAGCTTAAGAAGCTTTGAAGACAATTCAGATGCCTTGTCTTACCCAACACCATTTTAAAATCTCTGTGGGGCAGGGGATAGGGTGGGTCTAGATACTGTGTTTTGTTTTTAAAGCTTCTTAGGTAACATATATATATATATATATATATATATATATATATATATATATATATATATATATGTGTGTGTGTGTGTATATATATATATATATATATATATATATATATAATATGTACAGCTGGAGTTGAGGACCATTGCTGGAGACTAATTGCCTCTTTCTTTCTGGATTTCCGTTTTATGAAATGGTAAAGGAAATCCTTCAGACTTGAGGAAAATGATACCAGGTGGAAACTTGTGTCTAAGCAGTAATTATGTGGACACATGACTTTCTCCCCCCAACCCCCTCCTTTTTTTTTTTTTTTTTTTTTTTTTAGTTAATTTAAAAGATAATTGAGGGAGGATTCTGGGAAGATGGCATAATAAGAAGCATCAGGAATCTTAACTGCCTACCTAGACAGCAATTGCATTGCCTGAATCTGTAACTAATTTTAAACTCTTGAGTCTGTTGAAGACTTGCAAGTTTCAGGGGGGAGACTTGGAAGGTAAATTATGGTTAATTTTCAGATCTTAGCACAGTAGCTGCTATATGTCCCCCACCCCCAGTCGCATGGAGGCAGCTGTACCCCTGTTTCAGGAGTAGCTTACAACAGCTTGTGGGAGCTAGGATGGTCAAAAAAAGATCTTGTCCTTTAACTTTTGGGGATCTGTGCTCTGATAGGTGATTGCTTCATCTGATCGCACACTTGTAAAGAGGCAGGCAACCATTGTTCTTGCCTCTCCTGCTTTGTTGCAAGCCAGGCCCTACTCCCAAAACTGACTACCATGAGATTTAAAGGGCCAGTGCTCTTCTCCTTCTCTCACTTCATTTTCCTGTTTATTTCCTTTTGGGGACCAAACATTAAAAAAAATTAACTGTATCTACAGGGAACATTAGAAAGTGGTCATACAGGAAAACAATCTGGTGAAACCTGAAAAGACCTTAGTTTACACAGCAGGCTCATCGTTGGCCCAGAGACAGCCTATAATAATAATAAAAATAAAAAAAAGAGAGACAATAAATAAAAATAATCCAGAACCCAGAAACCCTCGTGGAAGGGGAAGAATCTGATTTTCAGAGTTATCACATTCCCGAATTTGATGAAAAACCTGAGTATAAATATCCAAGAAGTATAATGAACTCCAGGTAATATTAACTCATTGAGACCCACACTGAGACACATTATAATCAGACTTTCAAAAGACAAAGAATCTTGAAAGCAACAAGAAAGAATCAACTCGTCACATACAAGGGATCCTCAGTAAGAATAAGGGCAGATTTCTCATGAAGAACTTCGGAGGCCATGAGGCATTACATTTATAATGTAAATTTCCTTGCTTATTTTTAGGAATGATAAGACAAATACATTGAGATTTAGCCCTAGTTGGGTGGCTCAGTATACACTAAAAGGTGGCAGGTTTGATTTCCTGTAAGGGCACATACTAGGTTGTGAGTTTGACTATGGTTGTAATGCATATGGGAGGCAACTGATGGATGTTTCTCCCTTCCTGTCTAAGGAGAAGAAAAAAAACAATACTTGATTAAAAAGCCACAAATATATCCTTGGTTGAAGATTTTTAAAAGGTCACATTTAAATTTTAGTTTGAATAATGCATTTTTCACCTGTTAGCCATTTACAAAAATAAATCATCTCTGAACCTCCATCTCTTCATGTGTTAAATTTAATAAGATTTAACTGAGTATATTTTTCTGTGTCAATTCAAATAGGGCAGTATAAATGAAAACAGTGTGAAAACTAGAAATGAATGGACAGAGTCTTTAGAGCAGGAAGATGACATGATACACTATTTTATTAGCTTGATAATGTAGGATCTGAGACTGGGCAAGAGGGGAATGAGACTAGAGAAGTAAAGGAACAAGTTTGAAGGTCACATTGGTGACAGTGGTGACATTGAGAGTGAAGATGAAAAATGTAACTAGTCATTTTGGAGGGAAAGTTTATTTCGTGGTGATTGATGAGAAAGAAGAGAGAAAAGAAAGAATATTTTGCCAACCAGATTATCAATATCTGACTGCCAATTATTTTTCACAATCTGGCCTAAGCATTTGCTATACTCAGACAAAGAATTCTAAGAATTGCTAGTCTTTTGGCTCTGTGCAGAATGCTGCCTGCACTCATGAACATAGAGAATTTGGGAGAAAATGCTGGTTTGGTTAATAAGTCAACTTACTCACCTGTAAGCAAGTAAAGTTCCATGCCACAAATATGGGTATAAAATATTACCATAATTTTTATGTGATACTCATTTATTTAGGAGCACAGACATCTGATTGTAAAGTTCCATTAGTATTTGGGAAAATGATCATTTTAGGCCTTTTGAAAGATGATATTTTCTTTCTAATAGTGCTAAGTATGGTATTTAGTATTTAAGAAAAACACACACAAAACTAGTGAAACGTTTGGCTTTCAGATAATTTGCATTCAGTTTTATTCAGTGCTATATTTGGGGGGAAGGGGAGCATTTCTGGATCTTACATACATAAATTTGAGTATTTGTTACAGACTTGTCAGTCTAGTTATTATCAATGCTAAAATAATAGGATTTAAATGAAATTTGTCTGTGAACTGGGATAATTTCTTTATTTCACAGCAGTGATTGTCAAACTTTAAGGTTGCATCAGAATCATCTGGAGAACTTGTTAAGGCACAGGTTGCTGGGTCCCGCCTGTATAGAGTAGAGTAGAGCTGAAAATTTGCATTTTTAGCAAGGTGATCATGCCTATGTTAAGAACTACTGTTATATAATAAGGACTAAGATTATCCTCAGAAACCACAATTTAGCCTAAAAAAAATAACTTTAAAATATATATAACCTCTAAGAAATAGACTTAATTTTCATAAGCATACAACTCAAATACAAGTCCCCTTAGGGTGTAATAAATATAAAATGTTTGTTATAGTGTTCCCTAAAAGCTATTATTCTTACTTATTTAGCAACAGAACAAATTAGAAAAACATATTTTAAAATACTGTAAGGACATTATAAATGTTCTCTATTCACAACAAATAGTTGATTATTTAGAGGTATTTGGTGCTTCTAAATATGTAATTAAACTTACCCAGTAATTTCCTTGAGGTTAAATATGCTTACATTTTTAAAGATTTTATATAACCTAAAAACCTCTTCACCAAAAGATTAATGGTCCTTCTTTCCTTTTACCCATCTGTCCCATTACCCCCAAAATTTCAAAAAAATGAAGCTCTTGGAGGATCAGTATTAATATAGTCTGTTAACCCAAATTAGTTTCAGTAAATTTTTTTTTTAAATCTTATTTTTTAGCTAATGGGAATGACAACAAGAAATTTAAAGGAGATAGACCTCCCTGTTCGCCTTCCCGTGTTCTCCATCTTCGCAAAATTCCAAATGATGTCACCGAAGCAGAGGTCATATCATTAGGGTTACCATTTGGCAAAGTAACTAATCTTTTGATGTTGAAAGGAAAAAGCCAGGTATGTAATGTTTAAAGATTGATCCATCGTTATAGTTCTGGGTATTAATGTTAAAGATGATTTTTATTTTTTTGAACTTTTCTAAATTGCATTTTCTAAATTTCATCCTATTTACATAAAGTAGTTTTTAAATTATAATTTTGGGTGTATGTGACAAGAAACAACAGACAAAAATGTTAACATTGACTGTTTTTCTTTCCTCTTAATAAAAAAAAATTATATTTTTAGTTTCAAAATGGCTTATGAAAATATCCTGATTACCAAAAGACCCCAACAGAAAAACAGAAGATATAAATTATACCTCATTTGGCAAATTGCAGGACATATAAGTTTTCCAAAATCTGTATAGAACTATTTATACTATTTTAGTTATAGAATTAATAAGTAGCTTCTTTGGTAATTTCAGAAGTTAATAGGTTTTTCTTAAGATGAATATGCTTTTTGTGGTGATCATGACAAAAAATATAATACATGTCATATTGATTGCTTGCTTTCTTGTTCCATGTCAGATGGCACTGGGATGAATTTTTTAGTTTTCTCCTAGCTCTCTTTTACATTGAGCATTGTTACAAAGAAGAGAACAACAAATTGAGTTAGGCCCTAGACATTGTGTAGTACATTGGGATATGTCTCTATGTTTCTCACAATTCTCATGAATAAGTTTTTGAAACACATTTTATTTATTTTTAAATATATTTTATTGATTTTTATTTTTTTATTTTTATTTTTACAAAGAGGAAGGGAGAGGGATAGAGAGCTAGAAACATCGATGAGAGAGAAACATCAATCAGCTGCCTCCTGCACTCCCCCTACTGGGGGTGTACCTGCAACCAAGGTACATGCCCTTGACCATAATCAAACCTGGGACCCTTGAGTCCGCAAGCTGACACTCTATCCTCTGAGCCAAACCAGTTAGGGCTAAGAAGCTCATTTTAAATGTATTTATAAATAAGTAACTTGATTAGCAGTAGACTTGCTAGAGGCTGGATGATGATGTCTGAATTATGCCCATACCTTTTAGTAAGCTATAAACTAACATGCCTTTTTAATGCGGATAAGATTATTAAGATCTGTAGAAGTTAAATAAGGTGGTAGTCCTTGTTGTGTCTACATACATAGACCTCTTGGAGGTAGTACATGTACTTAGATCTTTATTTTAACATAGTTGCCTTTGTTGAGAATACTAGGTTTGCATGGTTTGAAAAGAGCCAACATGGCCATGTCTAATGGTTGTGAGATGTCTAACAGCCATGTATCACATTTCAGTAGTATATCCTGTATATTATGTCAGATGGCTGCGAGAGGCAGCAGGCAACACATACTTTCCTCTGTCGTAACTGTTGGTTCTGGGGTTAGTAGTGCTAATTGACTTACGTTGATTGCTTGTTTTCTGTTTATAAGTACTATGTGAGAAACATCTTGTCGGTGGTATACTTTAGCAGGAGATTCAGATGTGAGTCACTAGAACTACTTTTACACGTGATCTTTCCCATGGTACTTGGAAGTAGGGTGTTGAGGGCATAAAGGGTATTATTTTCACCGGTCTTTCTGTGGGTAGTAACTTGATTTTCTTTTCATTCATATTATGAAAATTTATCCTTTTGACTGGATACTTTAGAAAAACAGAAATGAAACTTTTACTGGACAACATGTTGAAACATGTTTTTAAATATGAATTCTTAGGTTTTATATGCTTTCAGGAAAAAACTTCTTATGACAAGAATTATTATTATTCCAAATACATTGTTTAGTTTTTCCTTTGTGTGACTGGTGTTAAACATTGGGTTAATTCTTAATATGTAGCAAAGAGTTGGTAGAAAACACCTTCTCCCCCATATAGCGAATATTATTAAAAGACTACAGTTTGTACAGTTTTTTTTTGTGGAAAAGATGATTACAAACAAGATAGGAGATACTGCCATAGCTATTTTTACCTTGATAATTTTATCCTTTTTTTTTTTTTAGAAATATTAGAAAAAGTATATTACTGATACAACTGGATAGTGGATTTAAAGTGTATTGTGGATTTTTATACCTTTTAGATGGCATAAATGACTCAAAGTCTATTTTATTTCTTGAAGATGGAGGAATTTTATTTGTTTATTGTGGATCAGTTAATTAATGGTATTTGATCCACTGTTGTGTAGCTAGCATTACTATTTAATAGAATGTTTTTAGTTCATTTAATCAATTCAGTTGTGACATTTGATTAATTCAGTCAAGCATAATATTTAACATTTATTAAGTCAATAGCCTGGAATATTTGCCAAATGGAAACACTTGCCAAGTAAGTAACAAAGTTAAATCTATAGATACTTGCCATTTCCTGTGTTCAATAAATTTTGTTGTTAAATACGTATTTTATAAATAAATTATAACTGTTTTATATATAATTTGAATTGCTAATTAAATGCTTTATTGTAGTAAAAATTAATTGAGTTGTCTAACTAGAAATTTGCATTGATTTAAAATGTATTTTAAGCTGAAACCGATTCGGCTCAGTAGATAGAGCGTCAGCCTGCGGACTGAAGGGTCCCAGGTCCGATTTCAGTCAAGGTCATGTACCTTGGTTGCAGACACATTCCCAATGTGGGGTGTGCAGGAAGCAGCTGATTGATGTTTCTAGCTCTCTATACCTTTCCCTTCCTCTCTGTAAAAAATCAATAAAATATTTTTTAAATAAATAAAATGCATTTTAAGTTTAAGATGTTCGTACGGTGGTTCTGAGGGTTCAGAGTGGTTAGTATATGTCTATATTTTATTTTCCTAATGAACCATTAAGATAGGTGGCAGGTTTTACTTTGTCATACAAGTTACAGGGGTCCTTATAGCCAGAAGAAGCCATATATAGAATAAGATATAATTACCAAGGTGTGTCTTCCATCTTAATTCATTCTATGTTACTCTGCAAATATTTATTAGTACAATGATTACAGATTTTAAAAATTTTGCTTGAATGACTTGACTTACTATGGGAATTTGGACAGTTGACCCTATACACCTGAATGCTCTATTTAATTGTATTCATAAACTGTTTAGTAAAAGGGTAAAGAAAAATAGATTGTCATGCCCCATCTCTGAGAATGTTTTAGGAAAGAACTAAACTCAACTCCTAAAAGTATCCGTTTGTAGTGGTGATGCACACATTAAAAAAAAAATTTGGAGATAGTACATGTACTTAGATCTTTATTTTAACACAGCTGCCTTTGTTGAGAATACAAAGTTTGCATGGTTTGAAAAGAGTCAACATAGCCATGTCTAATTTCAAAAAGGAAGAGAAAGGGAGAGAACGGTAGAAACATCAACTATGAGAGTGAATCATTGATCACCTGCCTTCTGCATACCCCCTACTGGCGAATGAGCCAACCTGGGCATGTTCCAAGACCTCCTGGTACAGAGGCCAATGCTCAACCACTGAGCCACACTCACCAGTCCACACATTTACTTTTACCTTTTTAATTACTTCTGGATTTAGGAGAAACAAAAATAAGAAAAAACAACAAAGCTACATAAATCATCTAATCAACTGGCAATTTCTCAATCCCAAATCCTTTACTGAATTTAGCTTTTCAAATATGTTCCCAGTTATTATCAGCAATACACATTGAATCAAAAGTCTTTTCATTCTCTTCATCACATTGAAGCAAAAGAAAAAAAAATCTTTCCATTCCCTTCTTTCATGAGAATAAATATACAATTACTATATATATGCACATATATATATATATATATATATGAGTTACTTATTTACTTTTGTATTTTTGGCCTGGTCCTTGCTTTGTGGTGAGTGGCTTTGATTGATACAAGGTGGGGCTGCGTATGTGTGAGGGGCAGAGATGGATTGGTAACTACAGGATACCTAGTCTGCGTGTAGAACAACTTAGTTACCCAGAGATAACTAACGAACATTTTGCTAAAAACATTTTGGTGTGTGTCCCTTCTTTATTCAGATGTATTATTGTCTATGTATATAATTTTATTTAGGTTGACAATGCATGAGTTTAGAGCAAGCTAGAATGACAAAATAGTTCTTAGCTATCTTTCAGAAGCCGTGAGCTTTCACTTTATCTTCTTGTGTTTATTGCAGGCTTTCTTAGAAATGGCTTCTGAGGAAGCTGCTATTACCATGGTGAACTATTACACTCCTGTGACCCCTCATCTTCGAAGCCAGCCTATCTTTATCCAGTATTCCAATCACAGAGAACTTAAGACTGACAATCTACCTAATCAAGCTGTAAGTATTAAAGGCATTTTTAAAAATAGCTATAAGCACATATGGTTTAATAGCTTAAGATTAATTTTCTGTTTCAGAGGAAAAACAAAAATGTACTTTTTAATCTATCTTAGCTTAAACATAAGAAAGTGAAGCCATGTTTGAAGTTTAAAGTTATAGTGTTAAAAGTGGCAGATATTTAGTTTTCTCATGAAACTGTTTTTATGAGAAAAAAAGGAAAAAATTGTTATGTATCTCTTAAAATCTCATATCTAATGGAATTTTAGAAGTCAATCCTTTCTTTTACAGAATATATAACAAAGGCATTGAGAAGTTGAGTGATGTTTCTGTTGTGATGTTATGTAAACTGAATTTAAGATGTTAATGAGAATTTGTATATATACGTTTAGTAAATGGTTTATGACTTCAAGATGAATGTGCATTGTAGAATATCAACATTTTCCACTTTTTATTTTGTTGTAGTTCATGTTGAATCTTTTGTGTCTCTCCAAGTTGATTTTTAAGTAATTAAAATAGTAATTTCAAGGTTTTTTATTATGTCACGTGCATAATGTTTGGCCCTTATGCTTTTGCTCTAGGCAAAAAGAACCCTAGTTCTTGATTCTGTGTGGAAAGTTATTTATAATGTAAGCTGTTGGATTTAAATTATAGTTTTCCACATTACTAAAAACTGATATTTCCTATATACAATCCTTAATTTGTTCTAAGAGATACTAACCTATATATATAAATATAGATATTATTAAGTCAATAGCCTGGAGTATTAGTTACTGGAATTTAGTTACTCAGAAATAACTAGCACTTTTCTAACATTCTTGTGTGTGCCCCATCTTTATTCATGTATGTTATTGTCTCTGAATGTAATTTTACAAAACTGGGACTCAAATGTTTTGAAAGCTATTATTTTCTACTATAATATGTCAGACATTCTTCCATGAGAACAATTATAGAATTACTTTATAATTTTTAAATGACTGCATAGTATTCCCTTCTATAGGACATAACTTATCCTGCTTCTTCTTTTCCCCCAAATATGTTTTTATTGATTTTTACAGAGAGAGGAAGGGAAGGGAAAGGGAGAGAGAAAAACATCAATTGATCGGCTGCTTTCTGCATGCCCCCTACTGGGGATCGAGCCCTCAACCTGGAGAATGTCCTGAACAGGAATTGCCTCCTGGGTCTACCATTGAGCCACACTGACTGGGCTATCTAGTTTATTACAGACATTGAGATTGTTTCCAATTTTATGCTTTTACAAATAATACTATAGTAACATTCTTACAATATATATCTTAGCACACTTGCAACATTATCATATTAGTTTGTATTTCTGGCAATGAAATTGCCGGGACTGAGCATAAGCTTATTTTATATTTTGATATATCTTGTATTATTGCTTTCTGTAAAGATTATGCCCCCACTTGGGATGTGACTGATAATGTATGAGCAATTTTCTTGTCTTTGTTAATATGATAGACAAGAAATTATACCTTATTGTTTACTGATTTTTGTTTGGTTACTCGTAAAATATTTATAGCAATTTCTGTTAATGTGGGTTTCCAAAACCCCCATTTTAAAAATTGCAGTAAAATGTATATAATGTAAAATTCACCATTTTAACCATTTTAAAGTATGCAGTTCAGTGGATATTAAGTACATTCACATCTTGCAACCTATCACCAACATCCATCTCCAGAAGATGTTCCCCTTCCCCTATCTCTTAAGATTGTATTAAAGATCCTGATTTTGATACCATACTCATAAAGACTTAGCTAAGTAAAATTTTAAAAATTTTCCTACTTTTACATTTTAGTTGTTTGTATTTTAATATATAAATCTTTATTTTATTAAGTATTTTTTGGAGTGTGGAGTAAGGGTTAGGTTTTAATCTTTATTTTACTCCCAGTGACCAGTTCCACCTTTGTTATTTAACTTAATATATTTTATTTCTCCAAATATATTAGAATTATTTTGGTAACTTATACCCCCAAACACACAATTGGAATTGAATTTTATTTTATAGATTAATTTAAAGATAATTAATGTATTTCTATTGCTCACTGATCCTTTAAAGAGGAAATTATATTTTGTTTACTGGCTTTGAGTAGATCTTTTAATTTTCCTTTATGTAAATTTTCTCATTAGTGTGATTCCTAAATATATTAGTATGTCTTGAAGAAGAAATAAACAATTTATTAAGACTCTTAAAGATGGATTATTCTAAAGGGAAACAGTGAGAAATCCCAGTTGCTTGGCAACCAAAGCCAGCCCAAATGACCTAGTTTATTCTTCGATAGCCTTGATTTCTTCCCAATATCCTTTCTATTTTGCTAATTTTGTGCAGTTTTTATGCATTGATGTTTCATAAAATACAATAATTTTTCTTTTATTCAAAGTTCTATATCAAAGCTGAATTCAAAATTCAAGGTACCTGTTTGCATATATAAAATGTATTAGATAACTTTTATTTTGACAGATTTGGGAAACTGATAAATTAACTGTTTCATTCCCTTTTGTTTTCTGAATCAAGATATTCCAAAACATGCATATAACTTCTTTTCTAGTTTATGGACATACTTGCCAAAGGGTCAGGTGAATATCAAGTATTTTTTGTCCCTTGACTTAAATTAAAATTATAGCTAAAAAAATTGTCATATTTTAAGGTACAGCATTTGAGAAATCGTTGTGTAATAGCAGTCAATTATTGTATAGACAGTTTTTCTTTACCCTGTGTGTGGAAGTTTATAAATCCACAAAGAGGTGGCCATGGGAAGATTTTTCTCTAAAAATTCATCAAACTGGACACTTAAAACCTCTGCTTTTTTTTTTTTTTTAATCTCTGCATTTTTATGTATACTCATTTCCATCTCAATTTCACAATGCCTTCACAGAATCTAAGCATGTTTAAATTTTACATGAACTACATTTTCTCTCCCATGCCTCAATAAAAATCTGTTGGTTTCATACCGCTGCTATTTCCTTTATTTATAATTAGTGTAACCATTCTAGAGAGAGTGTTGCAGAACATTCTGTGTCATAGTTTTTTTATCATCAGATTCACTTTACATCAACTAATTTTTTAGGATTCATGTATGCTTCTATGTAATTAAAGTTCTCATTTTGGATTGTTTTATAGCGAGCCCAAGCGGCACTGCAGGCTGTCAGTGCTATCCAGTCAGGAAGCCTGGCCCTTCCTGGAGCTCCCAGCAGTGAAGGCACAATGCTACCCGGGCAGAGCCCTGTGCTCCGGATAATTATTGAAAACCTCTTTTACCCTGTGACCCTGGAAGTTCTTCACCAGGTAAGGAAGGACCTTCTTCAGAAAGCAGAGTCAAATGTGTCCTCTGTAACTTTAGATGTTTTATATCTTTAGTTTTTTTGGGTTGCTAGTTTTGTCTGATGTATTTCTTTAAATTTTAAAAAACTTTACCCTGTTTCATTCAAGAAGTAATATCAATTCGAGATAATTTTGATACCCCGTTTCCTAACTTAAATACTTGATTTTAAAAGATGTGTAAGACATTCTTTTTTTTTCTTTTCTTTTTTTTAATATCTAAGCATGAAAATGAGTAAAGTATAGAATCTATAAAAAGCACTGGTAGTAGTTATTCCTGAGAAAGTAAGATTGGGATAGAAAATAACTAACTTATTCCTGTTGACTCTTTACATTTGAGTATTTTTCTTTTAAAAACTCTGAAAGGAAGGTATACAACAACTCTTTTACATGTAACATGGAAGTAGCGTGTTAAGTGCTGACTGATGCCCAATGTAGCTTTCATTGACAACCCAGTAATATGCCTAACCTGTCTTGATAAAAGTCATTCTACCGTCTTTTGGCCTACTATGCATATATAGAATTTAAAGATTGGGAGGTCACCTTGTTGTATAATTTTATAGTGAATAAAACTGAAACTCAGATACTTGACGCATTGTAGAGTAATTGAAGAGCCAATTAGAACTCAAGCCTTCTAATATGAAGTCCAGAGTATTTTGCATGCTTGTTATATTTTTAATAACCAACCAAAGTGTAGTGCATAGTATAGCCTAAGGATTAACATGCAGTATTAAATTTAACATGTAGTTATTTGGTAATCTGTATACATAAATATTTGGCATCTAGTCCAACAACTTCAGTTAGTTTTGTCCCTTTTAGCTGCATATTGATTTCATTATACTTGTCAACCCATGTATTAAAATACTAAAACATTATTTGCCTATTTTCATATTTATATCTCAATATATATTACCAGTCTAGAACCAGGTCAGTCCAGGATTATTTAACTGCTTTTCTGATCTTTGTATTTGTACTAAAAGTGAAGGGTTATAGAGGTGTATGTATGTGTATGTATATTTACGAATTGAAATGCTCTTATTCTATTCCCACATTTTACAAATAAGAAAACAGAGGCCTCCTTTAGAAGTTATGCTAGGTTTCCACAGTCACTGTGCTAACTGGTGATAGAGCATGGATACATTCCTAATGCAGTTCCTGTGCCATGCATATAAATATCAAAGTGTACCATTTACTAGGCCCACTGTGATCCCTGTGATAGTTTTCTGAGGACCATTTTCTTAAATATGCATTTGTAAAGCATGACCTAGGGCGGGCTTTCACAGAGCTATCCATAGCCACTTCTGTTCCCTGAAAGGGTTCCGGAATTGATCAGGTGATTGCTTTTTTTGTTCTGGTGGATTTTCTTCTCTTCTGTTTATCCCACAAAATGGTACTGAGCACACTGTGATCCATCAGCAGTGTGTGCTTGTTTTTGGTATTGTAACCCTGTAGCTACTGCTAATGTACACTGTGTTTCAAAGGATATTCTTGGTCCTGTGGCTCAACACAGCCATCTGTCACGGTGAGTTAGCCAGGGTCATGTGGTTCAGTCCTGTCGTTCCATTTATCATCTTCATGACAGCAGTTACAATCCTTGTTTCTCTCCCAAAAGATCATGGGGTCCTTCTGGTGAAGAGTAGTTTCTGAGAATCTTCAGTAGTAACTTTCAGGGTCGGACTCGCAACCTTCAGTTACAGCACTCCCTTGTTTCATGCTCCTTCCCATTGTTGTTGAAATCAAAACAAACTCTTTACCAAGGTCCTTAGGTCCCCACATGCAGACCTCTCCCCATCTCTTTAACCCCTTTTCTAACACTTCTCTGCTTATTTAGCACCCTAACTTTTGGTCCATTGATCTTCCCTCCCCTCCAGCTTATCCCTGTCTTAGTCCTTTTCTGTTTTCTATTATTTAAGCTTGGAATACTCTTCACTGAGATAGTCACTGAACTGGATTTTACATAATTGGATTTTCACCTCCTCAGAGAGTCTTTCTCTAATTACATTAACTAAGCCCTCTCCATCTGATATCCTGTCTCATTAACCAACCAAAGTGTAGTGTAACCTAAGGATTAAGGATACAGGGTTTGGAGCTGGTTTGAATCCTGGCTCTTCCACTTACTACCTCTGTAATCCTGGGCAAGTAACTTACCTCATCTATGACTTTTACTTATTTACTAGTATATAATGGAGATGAATTAAGATGGTTTTTCATACCTTCATTGTGAGGTTTATATGAGTTAATGCACTTAAAGCACTTAGAACAGTGCCTGCTACATATTAAGTGCTCAAGAAATTTTATCTGTAATTATCAGATGTTAGTAAATTTCACTGTAAGGAAATGATCCTTGCTTTTATAGTCTTGTGGGTAAGATGTAATTTCATAAGTAATCGCATAATGCAATAAATATTGAGATGGGATCATACATGGAAGTGTGGAGTTGCTTGCACCTGTTATAATTAATTAGAGGATTGTTTTATATTCTTTGCTGAAGAGTTATCATTAACTAAACTGCTCTCTAATATCTGTAGAAGCTTGTGGTTATTCCTTTAGCTAGCTCATGGCAAAGGGGATTGAGATGGGAATGGTGCCATTTCAGATTATGGACATTAAGAAAGATGTTACCAAAATGACATTTGAGCAGAGGCTTGAAGGATGTTAAGGTGTAAGTTGTGTGTACGTGGTAGAATGATCATCCAATCAGAAAAAGCAGCAAGAGCGAAGTCTTGAACATGAAGGTGTGCTTACTGTGTTCAAATATCAGAAATAAGGCTATGTCAGTGGACTATAATAAAGTAGGAATGTAGTAACTAAGAGGGTCAGAGAAGCAGTTAGGAGCCAAATTACATAAATAAAACCTTTTTTATCTTACATGTAAGGAAGATGGAAAACCATTGGAGGATTTTGGGGCACATTTATGTTTTAACAGAATCAGTCTCGTTGCTGTTATAAGACTTCAGACAATAAAACAGTGAAGGCCTGGGGATGGGGTGGGAGCTGGGTGAAAGGCGTCAATGAAAAAAAAAAGGGGGACATATATAATACTTTCAACAGTAAAGATTTTTAAAAAAATGATTAAGCTGTAGGCATAAGTGAAGGCTCTTGTCATAATCATGTAAGGGAGGGTGGAGACTGGGATAAGGATGTGGACCCTGGAAGTAGTGATTATGGATATATTTGGAAGGATTTGCTGATGGGTTGAGTAGGTGTAGGTTTTGAAGAGAAAGAGAGTATCAAGAATGTCTTTCAGATTTCATCTGTGAAATGGTAAAGTAGAGCTATCGTATATTAAAATAGTAAAGACTGAGGGGAATAAAAATTGGGGACGGGTGGAAGGTAGGGCAGGAATCAAGAGTGTGTTTTTGGACATGTTAAGTTTAATAGATCTATTAAACATTGAAGCAGGAGATACTGAATAGAAATTTGGCAAATAAACCTACATTGGCATAAGAACTCTGGGCTGGAGCATCAGCTTATGGGTGGTCATTTAAGGCCATTGGATTGTTTGGCATCACCTAGGACAGTGGCTCTTTGGCCCCTTGAGTTTTTAGCAAAGGCCAGCTTAGGAGTACCCTCATTAAGTTAATAACAATGTACCTACATATATAGTTTAAGTTTAAAAAATTTGGCTCTCAAAAGAAATTTCAATCGTACTGTTGATATTTGGCTCTGTTGACTAATGTGTTTGCAGACCACTGGCCTAGGATAAAGGACTGATCTTTCTGAATTGCAGAATAAAGATAAATAACTTGCAAAATCAATTATTAAGATATTAAATAAAAAATTAATACTAGTAATATAAAATTCTGGTTCTTACTATTTTGTTAGCTACAAAAACGATTACAAACAAGTTGTGTTCGGTGTGCCTGATATTTTTTAAAGTTCTAAGATGAATATACATTTTATATGAATACTAGTGAACATTTTTAGTTTCTGGCAAGTTCTACCTGTATAAATATCACCCTGAAGATTAATTTTATCAGAATTTTAGCTTCAGTATTTCTTTAGTCTCATTTTAAAGTCCAAAAGAAAACAATGTATAGGAGACATCAATGGTTTTTAATTGTGATGTAGTCGAATTTGTCTATTTTTTTCTTTTGTTGCCTCTGCTTAAGAATATTCTTTCTGATAATTAGGAAGCAGAGCCATTTGCCCTATTAACAATACTCAAGACATAATATTTGATAATGGAAAATTTTTACCAATTTAGGGAATACTACCTTTTTATTCTTATAATGACAAGTGCCTGGGTCATTAAGATCCACATTTAAAATGGGACATCAGAGGGTGCGATGTAGTGACCTTGGCCATGAACCTTTGTTTTGGTGAAGTAGAATAGTATTGTGAGAGCATTGATAACCAGAGATCTGTCAGGAAACCTTCCCCGCCCTCTTGTTTATTCCTCTTCTCTGATACCACTTAAGAGGGGCCTTCCTTGACCACTCTTGGATGTCTCCAACTTTAATTCTCATTTTCTCTCATTCCTTTTTTTATTTTTATTTTTTAATTCATAACCTTTTTTACAACTGGACATTGTTATTTATTTGCTTAGTTATCATGTCTTTTCTCGTAAGGTCCGAGACTCTTGTCTCTGTTTTGTTCACTGCTGATTTTCCAGTGCTTAGAAGAGTACTCTGTGAGGCTTTGAATTAATAGAGCAGTCTCTATTGAACATCTTGTAGTTTGTCTCTAAAATCTCAAAAAGTTAGAGGCTAATTCTCAGAGTGAAATAGTTGATCAATGTGACTCTTTCACTTCCATTCATATACTTTTCACCCCATTATCTTATAATATTAATTTCTATTGTAGACTCCTGTTTTAGTATTGTGTCACTTATGACACACTATAAAGTAGATTAAATATTTGAGTGCCTTTTGGGTTAGGCACTGTTATAAGCCATGCATGGGTGTTGAAACTTTAACATCTTAGGTTTGATTTAAGTTATTTTGGTACCAACAATTTTAACAGAGGAAATTATTTTCATTAAAAATGGTATTCATGAATCAAGCTATATTTATAAAGATATGTTAGTTTAATTTTTTCCTTAGATTTAACCCAATGTGAACTTTTTTTCAGATATTTTCTAAATTTGGCACGGTCTTGAAAATTATCACCTTTACAAAGAATAATCAGTTTCAAGCCTTGCTTCAGTATGCTGACCCAATGAATGCACAGTATGCCAAAATGGTAATTATTAACTTTTTTTCATTTTTCAGTTGTTAATCAGTCACTTCAGTGTAACCAAAGGAAGCCTTCATGTCTTCTCCTTTGTTCCCACTTACCATGTGTTTTTTAATTGTAGTAAGATAAACATAATATAAAAATTATCATTTTCAAATATACTGTTTCATATGCTCTTTTTTTTATAACAAGCTAAAAATTACTTTGTTCATATGAAATGGTTTCAAAGCACCTATTATATCTCAAGACCTCTGGGACTCATTTCAGTTTGTCATATTTGAAGTCTAGCATTGAGCACAGTGCTCCTGATATAATCTAACTAATAAAGTAAAATTATCTTTGCCCTTGTGCCTTCATTTATTCTATCAAATTCTCCAAAGATTAATTTCACTATTTTTACAACCATACTCCTAGTTGAATCTTATGAGCTCTGAATTGATGAATACATTAAATCTTAGGAAACTTGCTGTGTCAACTTATAGTCTTTTTTTTTTTAAGTTCATGAGTGCTTGATTGTTGACAAGATATAAAATTTCACGGTTGGGTTATATTTGACCCATATCCTATTGAGACCTATCTGTAACCAGAATTCTATCTTACATCGGTGTCTGAATTGTTTCCGAATTCTTTTCAAAGATAAGGATAAAGTTAGTTTTACTTTTGTGTACTACACAGTGTCTACCTCTTGAATAGGAATATAGCCTTTATATTTGTTCCCTCTACCTCCACATATGTAAAATTTTGTGCCTTTATAGTAGCATACTCGTCAATAAACTATTACAAGTCAGGGTTTTTTGTATATTTTTTACTTGGTTTCTGATATTTATTTTGATAAATTTGGACATATGTGGAAGTCATAAGTGACTACAAATATTCCTTTGGTAAGTTTTTATTATTATGAAGGGGGAGGGATTACTGATTTATAGGCCTGTTCCAGAACTGACTTCAAATTTCCCTTAGCTTATTATTTATTTATTTTTATTTATTTTGTTAATCCTCACCCAGGGATATTTTTTCCCATTGATTTTTATTTCATTTATTTTTAATATATATTTTTATTGATTTCAGAGATGAAGGGAGAGGGAGAAAGAGATAGAAACATCAGTAATGAGAGAGAATCAATGAGAGAGAATCATTGACTGGCTGCCTCCTGCACACGCCCCATTGGGGATCAAGCCCACAACCCAGGCATGTGCCCTTGACCGGAATCAAACCTGGGACTCTTCAGTCTGCAGGCCTACGCTCTATCCACTGAGCAAAACTGGATAATTGTATAATTATTACAATAAGTAATAATTGTATTTTTCCCATTGATTTTTAGTAGAGAGGGAGAGAGAGAGAGAGACAGAGAGAGAGAAGCATCTCTGTGGGAGACACACCCATTGGTTGCCTCATGTTTGCTCCTTGTCTGGGGCCAAGGGTCTAGCCTGCAACTGAGGTACATATCCTTTTTTTTTTTTTTTTTTTTTAATATATATTTTATTGATTTTTTACAGAGAGGAAGGGAGAGAGATAGAGAGCTAGAAACATCGACCAGCTGCCTCTTGCACACCCCCTACCAGGGATGTGCCCGCAACCAATGTACATGCCCTTGACCGGAATCAAACCTAGGACCTTTCAGTCCGCAGACTGACGCTCTACAACTGAGCCAAACCAGCTTCGGCATGAGGTACATATCCTTAACCTGGAATGGAACCTGAGACACTTCAGTCCTTGGGTGGATGGATACTCTAACCTCTGAGCCAAACTGTGTAGGGCCCTCAACTTATTACTCAAAGTGCTAAAAAATAAATTTATAAAAGAAAAAATGGTAGATAATATTTCATGTATTGCTTTTCTAGTAAGTACCATTTAGAAAGGCTTTATTTCATCTTAACCTGTATAAACTAAACTATACTCATTCTTTAAAAAGAATTAAAATGAAGTGTAAAAATATTTGTAAACATTTTTGTGGATAAAATAATCATGATAGCAGCTTATATAATGTACAGTAATGCATTATAGTTTTCCAAGCCTTTACATTCTCCTCTCTAATTTGATCTTTACCAGAGACAAGATAGGGATTATTATCCTAATTTTACAGATGAAAAAACTACAGTTAGACATTTTCTTTTTCTCTCTTAGGTGCACATAGTGACAGAGGTAGAAGTAAATAAAGGTCTTTGGCTTCTAATCCAGTGCTCTCTGCTTTATACCTGATAGCCATTCTGTGTCAACGTAGAGACTACTTGATTTATCAGTGTTGTTGTCTTGCAAAACATCAGTCCCTTTCTTACATGCTTTAGGCACTGGATGGCCAGAATATCTATAATGCATGCTGCACTCTGCATATTGACTTCTCCAAGCTTACCAGCCTTAATGTGAAATATAATAATGACAAAAGCAGAGACTTCACTCGCTTAGATCTTCCTACTGGTGATGGCCATCCATCCCTTGAATCCCCTATGGCTGCTGCTTTTGGTGAGTAGTTCTGTTTTGGGTCACAAAGCAAGTTTTCTGAAATTACACATTTCATTTATTAATCCATGTTATGTCAGTTAGCCTTTTTCTTCTTATATTCTCTCAGGTGTTCTAAAGGATAGCAAGGATCATAGAATAAAATTTGTCCATTTATTAAATTTTAATATTTCTAGGTTCTATTAGTTGGCAAAATAAGTGAATATCTGACATTGAGAATTATAGATTTATTTTCTAACATTAATATTATTTATTCTTTATCAGCCATACAATAGTTTCAAATTAATAGTCTTTTACATATTAACATTAATTTAAATATGTTGCTTTATAACCAACAGAATATTGGCTTAAGTGCTCCTGAGAGAAATCCTTTTTTAAGTAGTGATATGTTAAAACAAGGATCTAAATTAGTGGTATGTTTTCCCTTTATTCAAACAAGAGTATTTATTTTATTTTGTTTTGTTTTTTTAAACATCAGAACTTCCATCTTTAAACTTAAGTTTGTGGGAAGTTGCATTTTTACATTAATGAAGGTAGTCTTCTGAATTATCTCTATAAATGTTGCTCTGAAGGGCTTCCTTCTTTTATTTAAAACTAGTTCTCAATACATTTATACATGCTTTTTAAATAAAACTTTATGTTAAGGAAAAAGCAGTAGATGGCCCCGTTGGATATATCACTAGGTTAATGTGTACTTTTTGGTTTTGCAGCTCTTGAAAGTGTGATTTATATTTAGATAAAGTAATAATTGTATTACCCTTTGTGATTCATTATTTTCCCAAATGACACCATAAAATATTGTTTATTGAGACCTTAAGTGATACTTAGTCTATCTTCATTTCACAGGGGGAAAAAAAATCTTTAGCCAAATAATTGTCTAAAATTCTCAAGAAAATACTTTGTAACTTTATTTTTCAAGTATCAAAGCTTTTTGTTCTTTATAACTGAAAAAGTCTATTGAACTGTTAAGTTCTCATTCCTAAAGTTGTTGAAGATTCTGTTTTGGTCTGATCAATTTTTGTGTTTTATTTGTTACCAGCTTTTACTTACATGTCTGATTCTGCAGAGCCAAAAGTCTTTGTAATTACTGTTTCAGTAACATGATAGAAATTAAGGCTATCATTCAAGTTTGCCAAAACTGGCTGTCAAATGCAGCACAACACTTACTCCAATAACTGAATATATAGTGTCGGTGTAATTAATGTTCTGCATCATGTAAAGAGGACATTTCAAAAAATACAGTTAAGAATTTTGGTTTCTGAATATAAAGTGTCAGAATGTTAACATCCTTTTTCATTGTGTTAATAAATTCATAGTTGTTGCAAAGTGATGCTACATCCTAAGATAAGTGATTCATTAGAGAACAATGCTTTTTTATGTATGTGTGAACGTTTACTATTCCCTTTTTTCTCTAAGCTTCTGAAACACCACACTCTTGACCTTTTTCCTACCTCAGTGTGTTCTTTCTCTTTTTTAAAGGTCGACATTTAAAATTTCTAGGGTTACGTTTTAAGCACTTTGTCCCAGTTTTTAGTGATACATACAGGGTGGTGCAAAGGTGGGTTTACAGTTGTTCATATGGAAAATAATTGAATAATTAATAAGTTGTAATACAAGAATAAACTGTTTTGTGTACTCACAACTGTAAACCTACTTTTGCCCCACCTTGTATTATATCAATAGAAAAGCTTATGAAACATGTAAATATATTTTAATACCTAGGTAATTGTTACCTAGGTTAAAAAATCAAATATTTATACATACCGAAGAAGTACTCTTTGTACCCTTCTCATTAATTAATTCTCCCACTTAAAAGATAATCAGTCTCAAATTTGGTGATAATCATTCTTTTGCTTTTTAGCTTTTTATTTTTACTTTGTTGTTGTTTTTACCATGTATTATACAGCCCTAAGTGCTAATTAAAAAAAAAAAATTTCCATATCTTTAGAATCTTACATAAATGGAATTATGTTACTTGTTTTTTTGTGTGACTTGTGAGACATTCATATTTATGTATGTGACTGTGGCTTATTCATTCTCAATACTGTCAAGTGTACAGATTCCCATTATGTGAATATACCACAGTTGTGTTTATCCATTCTATTGTGGATAGACATTTGGGTTATTTTAGTTTGAGGCCATTATGACCAGTGCTGCTCCTAATTGAACATATTTTTATTTGTTTATTGGTAATTCTCTCTTCTGAATTTGTCTATCTCTTTTGCCTAATTTTGTGTGTGGTTTATTGGTTTTTCTTGTTTATTTGTAGGATTTTTTTTTTTTAATCTCTCAAAACACTTTTTTTGTTATATGTGTTAGCTATATGCATTTCTTTCATTTTTGGCTTTATAATACTTTTATGTAGTCAAATTTATTTGCCGTTTTCTTTATGTTTGTGTTTTTGTGTGTGTTGTTTAAGAAATTTTTTTGTTGCCCTGACATCGTAAAGCTATATATATTATAAAATTTATAGTATTTTAGTAACTGTTTTGAAATAATTTAAGTTACAAGAATAGTACAAAGTATTGCCTTATATCATTCGTCCAGATTCCTCAATTATTAACATCATTGCCACATGTACTTTATCATCTCTCTGAGTGTGTGAGTATGTGTGTAAGTAGGTAGGTAAGTTTTTTATCCCCCTGAGTCACTGGAGAGTAAGTTGCAGGCATGATGCCCCTTTACTTCTAAATACTCATTGTGTATTTTCTAAGAACAAGGTCATTCTTAACTAAATACAGTTATCAAAACCAGGAAATTAACATTCATGCACTACTATTATCTAATCCATAAAACTTTTAAAATTTTGACAGTTGTGAAACAATGTTCTTTTATAAGAGAATTTTTTCTGGTAAAGATCCAAACCAGTATCAGGCCTAATTTATTTGTCTTTATTCTTTGTGTTGCATGACCTTTTCATTTTTTAAGAGTTCAAGTCAGGTATTGTGTAGGATGTCTCTCAATATGAGTTTGTGGGGTTTTTTGCTGAAATAATATGTCTTTCTCAATTTATGATGTCAAGAGACACACGATGCCAGTTTTTCCTATTCTTGGTGATAGTAACTTTGATCATACGAGGGAGGAAGAAACTTTCCTTTTCCCTCAAGGTCCTTTCAGCTGGTCTAAGAATCAAATCTACATAAGGCAAATTAGCAAGAAAAAAATAGCCAGCTATAAGTGCATACGTACACAGGGGAGCCCCACATTTGTGAGAGAGAGAGAGACCCCACATACATGAGAGGTTCAAAGACAGAAAGAGAAAATGAGGTACATATTAACAAATGAGGCAATATGGCATTCTGCATTGGGGCTTCAGAAGGGAGGAAGGTCATCGCAGGGTGATAAGAGCAGATATGGATTCAGTAACTAGTAGTTTGCCCTGCCATATAGATCATAAAATGTTATTTCTGATGATAATTCTTATATGCAAGGCCTCTAATTTAAATTTTTCTAGGGAGTTCAATGGTGGCAGAAGTTTCTCTTGAGTCTTCAGGGTCTCTGTTGCCTTGATCTCAAAATAATCTGCATACCATAGAGGCATGTCTTGAGATGACTCATTCTGTATCCCTACAAGCACTTATTAAAGTGGTTTCTGACAGGTTTCTTTTGGTTTTTGTTATTATAAATAACAATGATAAACTGGTTTCAATGCTGTCTATTAATTTATCTGGCCTTAATTGCTATTTTGGTTCTGCATTTTCCAAATGCAAAATATCTATTCTTAATCATTCAAATCTTAGACCTTTTCCTTAAAGGTTTGTATAATCTTTTCATAAAGATACTAACCTATTGCTTAACAGGTTACTTTACTAAAATGTTTTTTGTTTCTGCTTTTTTTGAAAAAAAAAAAAAAAAAAGCAAAGATTTATGGAAACTTAGTAAATAATTCTTTTTTCAAATTTTAACAGATATCCTTATTAATCATTATATCCTACTGGGAAACAATTATTAAAAATTTGATCCTGATGATTGATTGCCAGTTCTTGTATTTGTCACTATTTTATGTTCTGTGATAGTTATCTCAAAATTTTCCTCATTTTTCTAAAACCTACTGCTGATCTGACTCATACCTCTCTCAGGAGACATCTATACTGGTTGGTCACTTTGTTGTGTTTAAAGAGAATCTCTCTTGTCCTCCCAAATCTCTGGGTTTACAGCAGTTAACATTTATTTATTTCATGGCATCAACACTTAGGCAGCTGTGAATCTGCTTTTGCAACCTTCATTCATACACCTTTGTGATCCAGGGCTTAGGCTGGAGATGTCACTCACTCCATTGGAGACATGCATTCTTATGGCAGAAAGTAAAAATAAGAGAGCTGATTTACACTCTCATGCCACTTAAAACTTCTGTACAGGGGCAGCACGTCTATCTGTGTGTCCCTATGACATGATCATATGCAGTGGGAATTGCATAGAAATGCACACTCCTCCCACAGGAGTCACTGCAAGTCATATGAAAGGGGCAAGTGAATATTTGGCAACAGTAATAAAATGGACCATACTTCTTCTTATGATTAACTTCGTATTGTACATTTTTATAATTACTCATATCCATATTGAAGTCCCTTTGTCTTTCTTTATGCCTTGACTATAGTTATTCTTTTTAAAAATGAGTCATTAAACTATGATCTTCGGTTGACTGGAATGTAAGTTTAACAAGGACAGAGATTCTTGTCTGCTTTGTTTAGTACTTCCTTAGCGCTAGATAGGCTTGGCTCCAAATATGCTTACAGTAAATATGCCTCCCTTCTAATTACATCAGTTATTCTGTCATTTATTTTGTGTTTCTAGTTCTCTCTGCTAGCTCTACCTCTGAAGTCTCAATGACTATATATTTTCTTGAATTATTTTAATAAATCACAGCTATATATTCAACTAATTCTGTTAAATGTCTTACATGAAGAGAATAAACTTACATAAGCTTTTAACTCCTCTGGAAAATGCAGCCTATATTCTTCTTCTATAAATATATTCATCACCCTATTATTAAAAAACAAAACCCTCCCTTTGACTCTTACAATCTAACTTTTGTCTGCTGCTCTAAAACTATTTTTTATCTTTCACATTTCTCATTCTTTTTCATCTCTATTGAACTTCTCCAAAACAACTTTGATTCTCTAGGTCCTGAAGAACTAGAATTCATTGTTTCTCTCTCACTTTTTCTTTCTCTTTTAGAATGTTCCTCTTCTTTCCTCTACTATTTAAGTATACCAATTGATATTCCCAGGTTTTGTTTTTAGCTCTTTAAGTTTCTTGTCGCGTGCCCTTTCCAGTGGCACTCTCATTCATTCAACCTCATTTATTTCTACATAGATGATTTATAAATCTCTGTCTTCTTGTTATTCTGAGTTGACCCCCTCATTTCCACTCTTGGGCATTTCCATTTGAAGGTCTTTACCTCCACCTTCACATGTCCAAAACCAAATTGTTTTCCTATTAATACTGACTCCTCCATTGGAACTAAGTCCTGTTTTTTGTTGATGATGCATGGTCACCAGGTTTCTGAAGGAAAGGAAGAGTACCAGCATTAGTTTAGCATCTAGTGCACACTAACCACTGTGCTTTTCAATGCATAATGCCTAGCTGCTCAAGTTTTACCCCCTGAGAAACCTACTCCAAAAAAATCACAGTGAGTCCTCTGTGGTCCCTTCTTCTTAGACCACGTGTAGTGCGTTTGTACTTAAACCACTAGGTCCTCAGCATATGAATCTCCTCTAATTATATGTTTAATTTGTTTGTAAACCTCTCAGAGGCAAGGATTTTTATTTCATATTTCCTTTTTATCAATGCAGTGCCCCACAGGTATACAACCTAATAAGTATTTAATGACTTTTACATAGAAACAATCCTTTAAATAAGGGCAAGAATTTCAACCTAAATAACGAACTAATAACTCAAAACTAAATAACAGCTAAGCTGTACTCTACACCTTGAGCTCAGCTTCTGGAAGTGGCAGAGACACTACAATAGCGATCACCTATTGAATAAATTTTTACTTCTCAATAGAATTCTTTATCAGTAATATGCCCTTATAGCCATTTTATATTGCTTTGATAACCGTACTTATCGAAGGCAATATATTTATTTTAGCTTCTCTTTTCCATTAGGTGCACCAGGTATAATTTCCTCACCATATGCAGGGGCTGCTGGATTTGGTCCAGCCATTGGATTTCCTCAAGCTACAGGTGATTTTTTTCAAAGTTCACTTTGAAATGATTTTTTCTGATGTTCTATATTTTTTTTATAGAGTGGAAGGGAACAGGGGGAGAAGGGTGTCAAATGGGAGGGAAAGGGAAAGAAACATTGATAGATTGCCTTCTTCTTTATTTTTTCTTTTTGTCTTAATTAATTTATTTATCAACTGTTGTAATCTTCAGATAACTAAAATACGAAATGTTCTTGATGTTTTTAAAAAGGTCTGTCAGTCCCAGGTATTCCTGGAGCTCTTGGTCCTCTGGCACTCACCTCCTCTGCCGTCACTGGAAGAATGGCCATTCCTGGGGCTGGTGGTATACCAGGAAATTCTGTTCTGCTCGTCACCAATCTCAATCCTGATGTGAGTCGGAAAGCATTGTAACATAGTCTTTCAGAAGGAGGTCTACAGTAGCTTCTGATCAAGAGTTGTATTCAAATAAAAAATTTAAGTTTATTTTAAGAATTTTTATTAAATTTCATCACTAGTATATATAGAGGAAATATATAAAATAAATGCTTTAAACAAAGTCAACTGTTATTATTATAAGTAAACTTATTTTAAATTTTTGCCTATATTAGTCAGACATCTATATTTTGTATTATCCTTTTTCAGCTTATCACACCCCATGGGCTGTTTATCCTATTTGGTAAGTTTCTTTTCTTTTTTTTTGGTATTTTTAATATTATCTATGATAAGAATTGAATACATTTCATCATTCAGTAATATTTATTGACTGTCTCTTATTTGCCAAGTTTGACACTGAGGATAGAGTATTAGTAAGTAATTACAATAAAGTTTTATTTAAAAAGGGAATGTATAGCTGGGAGTCCTAACCTAGCTGAGGGAATCAGAGATGGTATGCCAAGAGAAATTATTGTTAAAACTAACTTGTGAAAAATCAATAAGAATTAACCAGGCAGGAAAAGGAGGGCAAATATCTTTCACAGGCATTAGCAATGAGAGAGCTTCTGGAGCCGGGAAGTGCTTCTGGATCGGGCCTAAACGGGCAGTCAGCCATCCCTCGAGGGGTTCCATATTGGAGAGGGTGCAGGCTGGACTGAGGGACGCCCCTCCCCCATGCACAAATTTCATGCACCAGGCCTCTAGTATGATATAATATGCTTCATTATTTTCAGAAATATTTTTCATTCAGTATTCTTAAGGTCTGATTTTAAATTCACTTTATTTTAGTACTTGATCTTAATGGTTATCAAATTGAAAAAGAAACCTCATAAATATATGCAGTATAAATGGAAGTGTTTCATTGTTGCTACACTAATTATGATACTAATTTTTTCAATTTAATTCACTATTTTTTGTTGTACTTTGAAAAATTAAATTTTTCCTCTTGTTAAATTAGTTGATCTTGAAACTATTGTGTGAGAATATTTTTAACAAATGGAGTTAAAACTCACTTCATTTAGAAGAATTTTTAATACGATAAAAAATTGTTTTAAATTTTTTGAGTGGATAATAGGTGTTTTAAGCTGTGTTTTTGAGGTTTCATTTATAGGTACACAACAATACGGAATTGTGCAGCATTATTATCAAAGCCGAGTTTTAGAACATTTTGATCATCCCACAGAGATCTTCCATGCTCATTTACAATAAAAGTTTTTATTGATGACACATTTCTGTTAGTTTTCAGTAATGAAATCATGTATTATTGGTAAATTTTTATATCTCTTTGTCCAAACACATTTGTTTCTAAAAGTGGTTAATTTCTCATTTAAAAAAATAACTCTCAGCTTGAAGAACAAATTGTGTTTGGGGGTTTGTTTTAAAAAAAATAATACCTATTTCAGCCACTTGTCATTTTTGAAAAGAACAGAAAATTTAGAATATTTGTCTTTTTGTTTTAAACTTTAAAAGTACCATTCAATGCTAAGTTCAGTTGCTCTTAGGTGCTTGCCCACAAGATAATCAGCACTCCTTTGTGTGCCTTGAAAATTTTCATCACATTACAAAGTATGGTAATGATGCAACTACCTCAGAGTCTTATTTTTGTAACATTGGTGATACCTATTATAATAGAAGGGATACAAATTTGGGAGCATGTATATGGAATACCTCAGAGAATATATACAGGGTTGGGCAAAAGTAGGTTTATAGTTGTTCATATGAAAAATAATATAATAATTAATAATAATATAAGAATAAACTGTGTTTCATGTACTCAAAATTGAACTTATTTTTGCCCCACCCTGTATAATATGAAATCTTCTTTAAATGTATTAATAAATACAACACAGACATTAAAAATTGTTTTGTTTTGTCTTTCTAAATAGGAGTCTATGGTGATGTACATCGAGTGAAGATTATGTTTAATAAGAAAGAAAATGCTTTGGTTCAGATGGCAGATGCAAATCAAGCTCAACTAGGTACTGATGATTAATAGTTATAACAGTGGTGACCTTCCCCTTTTTATGTGTATTTTCCTACAAAATGAGCAAACTTATAGCTAATAGGAATATACTTTACCAAAAAGTACCTCTTTGTGGTACTATTTTCATTATTTGGACTTACTTATATTTTGTAAAAATTAAAAATATTTATTACTCTTCAAAGTTTGTTTTCTACTTATTGCTATTTAGAACTTTGATTCTAGGGCTTTTCTCTTAAGTTTAATCTATTAAACATCACTTGCTTTGTTTAATTTTATTATATTTGATTATTTATTTGCTTTTGTTCCTAATTAAGTTTTCTAGAACTGTTGCTTGGCATAAAAGTTTGGGCAAACATCATAATGATGGCACATGACAGTGTCATTCTGTGGCCTCTCTGTTCATTGTTATAGTGGCTATACAAAATGTTACCACTCGGAACTTTTGTAAAAAATACTTTGCTTGAGATTAAACTTATTCAATAACCATTTCCTGAACACTTGTTATGTTCCAGGCACTCTGGAACTTCCTAGGAAGATAATTGTTTTTTGTTTGTCTGTTTTTCTTTTGTTATTGTAAAATAAATCATCTAATACATTTCTATATGGAAGAGTTTTAAAATTTAAAACCATTCTAACCCACAAACTGACAATATAATTAAAAATTTTAAATAACTAAATAAAAAGATTTTATGATAATTGAGACAAATTTTATAGAGGCTCTATCTTAATTCCCAAACTCTCCTTATTTTCTTCCTGTGCACCAGCAATGAACCATCTGAACGGTCAGAGACTTTATGGAAAAGTGCTCCGTGCTACCCTGTCCAAACATCAGTCAGTTCAGCTTCCTCGAGAGGGACAAGAAGACCAAGGTCTGACTAAGGATTTTAGTAATAGTCCTTTGCATCGCTTTAAAAAGCCTGGCTCTAAAAACTTCCAGAATATCTTTCCACCGTCAGCCACGCTGCATCTTTCCAACATCCCGTATGTACCTAATTAGTTATTATCCTACTGTTGGTTAATAATTAATATAATTATTATTATAAACAGTATATTTTAGGAGAGGTAAAAACTCTGAAATTAGCCCTTAACTGGTTTAGCTCAGTAGATAGAACATCAGCCTGGGGACTGAAGGGTCCCAGGTTGGATTCCGGTCAAGGGCACATGCCAGGTTGTGGGCTCGGTAGCCAGTGGGGGGGCGTGCAGGAAGCAGCTGATCAATGATTCATTTCTTAGGCACAGTGGAGCAGGATGGCAGATTTCATCACACCACTCAGAATGGCATCCAATTTAAAACTTAGGAATTGTTTATTTCTGGAATTTTCCATTTAATTTTTTAAACTGCTGGTAGCTGAAACTGTAGAAAGTGAAACTGTGAGTAAGGGGGGACTACTGTATTCTACTTTTTGCCTATCAATTTATCCATAGATAACCTTTGAAATGAGATCATGAGTTTCATTTTATCAATGAAACTGAGAGGCTCGGGTTAAATAACTTACTTCAAGAGACACATCAAGCGAGTAAGAAGTAGAATGTGAAGACAGACCTGTCTCCCTGCAGAGCCAGTGACTTTTCTGCCACACCAGCCTTGCTGGCCATTGTGAAGTGAGTCTGCTTTTAGTCAGTTGACTCTAGAGCGATAGGCCACTCGCCGTCTTGGTCATCTGCTTCAGAAGGACCACCCCAGAACGGAACACAATAAGCGTTCATTATCTCATACTGTAGCTGCGAGTCAAGAATCCAGACATTGCTTACCTGGGTGGTTTTGGCTGAGAGTCTATCATAAGGTTGCATCTGAAGATGTAACTGGGGCCAGAGGACCGGCTTCCAAAGTGGCTCATTCATGTGCCTAGTTATTGACAGGAGACCCTCAGTTGTTGTCACCAGGGTCTCTCCATGTGGCTGCTTTAGTGTCCTCATGAAATAGCAGCTGGTTCCTCCAAAGCTAATGATTAAATAGAAGGTGTGGTGGGCACTGCAGTTACGTGTGTCATTTCTACAGTACCTTTAAAGGTTACAGAGGGCATCCCTATTCAGTGTGGCAAGGGTATATTTGAGGGCATGAATTCTAAGAAGTGAGAGTAATTGGGGGCCACCCAAGAGCCTGGCAATTACACATATTTATAATCTCCCTGAAAGCAGTTTAATATGGAGAATGCTGGCCAGCTGGCGTGGCTCAGTTGAGAGTCGTCCTGGGGCACTGAAAGGTTGCCAGTTCGATTTCTAGGCAGGGCACCTCTGGGGTGCAGGTTTGGTCCCCATTTGGCAACCCATCTCTCTCTCACCCGCCCCTTCTCTCCTCCCCTTCCCCCCCATGCATGTCCTTGGGTGTGAATTTAAAAAAAATAAAATGCAGAACTCTGGACTACAGTTGATAAGTCAGAACTGTTGCCAGTTCGATTTCTAGGCAGGGCACCTCTGGGGTGCAGGTTTGGTCCCCATTTGGCAACCCATCTCTCTCTCACCCGCCCCTTCTCTCCTCTCTCCCTCCCCCCACCCCCCCATGCATGTCCTTGGGTGTGAATTTAAAAAAAATAAAATGCAGAACTCTGGACTACAGTTGATAAGTCAGAACTTGCTTTGGAAGTACTAGAGTTAATTACTGAAGTCTGTTGTATGAGTACTAATTCCTTTGAAAGAATAAATACAGAGGTGGGCAAAAGTAGGTTTATAGTTGTAATACAATAGTTAATAAGTAATAAAACAAGAATAAACTTTCTAGTCCTTTGTACGCCATAAGCATCTCTAGACGCAGGGATGGATTCTGTTTTGGACGTGTGGCAGTTCACTGGCCACTACTCACAGCTGTAAACCTACTTTTGCCTGCCCCTGTATAGATAGATTTTCTTGGTCTTCATGTACTGTCCACATTGTTTGCAAAAGATTTGAGACAAAATTCTGTTGTTTGAGGATATATATGTGGTATGTGTCAACCTCAAACATCTTCAGGGCAGTTCCAACTCATGTTTTCATTACATGGCTTTAGTCTCTATGAAATGTGAGCTACACTGGAGATTTAACGATTGCAAGTTAATCTTTGATTCATTTGAGAATTAGGGCGCTAAGATATTTGATGGACTCTGATGTTTTCACAGACCTTCCGTTACAATGGATGATCTGAAGAACCTTTTCACAGAAGCTGGATGTTCAGTGAAGGCTTTTAAATTCTTTCAGTAAGTCCTTGCTTTTAAGAAACACGTTAAACTTATTTTTAATATGGTATGCAAATGTTAGGGTCATTTCAAGAAGTCTTCTAGGGTTGGAGAGAAAGTTTAGAGACAAAATTAATTCTATCCCCTTTTTATATTTCTTATCCTATTTTTAGGAAAGATCGCAAAATGGCCCTTATTCAGTTGGGATCTGTGGAAGAAGCCATCCAGGCTCTCATTGAGCTTCATAACCATGACCTTGGAGAGAATCACCACCTCAGAGTTTCCTTCTCAAAATCCACAATCTGATTTTCTGTGAATTTTTCTTCTAAGACTGGACCATTATAGCAGTAAAATGTTCAGACATAGACTGAAGCAACTCAAGACCAATTCTGCCTCTTTTACAAAAATGAGTTTTTTTCTGAGTTTGCTGTTTAAGTATATTCAAAAAATTAAGGAATGTTTTACCCCCTGCCAATCTGTGATCAAAGGGGTGTTTTTCCTTTATATCATAGTTCCTATAAAAATAATCTTCAGGGGAAAAATTTTTTTCCCCAGTAATTTAAATCCCCATATTAAATTGGATTTCAAAAAGACAGACTCTTTTCGTTTGGGACCAGATCAGCCTTATACATTTCTAAACTCCTTTGTACTTTAAAAAATTAAATGTGACACCTTTTAAAATTACTTGATATAAGTAATTTCAATTTCTTACAACCAAGTTTTTAACTTGATGATTCAGAATTTGTCCATGTATAAATTACATCAATTATTTGGCATATATTAATGGCTATACATAAACAAATTGGTTTGTGTTGGAAGCAGATTTATAAACTTTATGGTTTTCTTTCAGTTCCCCCTTCCCCTCCTCCCCCCACTGGTAAGATACTCCTATGAATATTGCATATCTTTAATTTTTTAAGAGTATTTGGAGAAATGAAGCATCTCAACTGTCCCAAGAAAATTAAGTGGAATCCAACCAGGATCAATTAAAGTGTCAGAATAATCAGTAATTTTCTTAGGAAAAATCATGTTTTAAATTTCAAAATGATACATTTGCTGAGTAATATAATATGATCTTAGAAAACTAAAAAAAAAAAAATTCTACTTATAAACTACTTTTTTATAATTGTTTTCAGAAAAAGTTTACAGTCTTAAGGAAAATATTCAGGTCTATCATATGGTTTGACAGATTTTTAAAAGTTATTTTTGGTAAGGTCTTCTTTTAGAAAAAAAATTAATCTCAAGGGTTTTTTGTACCACTATAATCTGTAATACTTATTCAGAATTACTGTGTATTTACTTAATTTCTAATTATGTGCCTTATTATGTGCTTATGATACAATAGGTTAGAGTTTTATCTAAGTATCTTGAAAGCTATATTGTGGGCTTGGTGAGTGTTTGCCTTTTCTTTTCATATTTTGGTAAGGATTCTAAAGGTTTTTTTTCCATTGCTATTTTAAGTGATTTTCAATAAGTAATCATTTTTATCCAAATTTATGGTGCTTTGGTGCAGAGATGGAGTGGAGTAGGGTAAATGGTTTGGACAGTAATTCAGTGTACACATGTAGGCCTCTTCACATTGTGACCAATAGCAGTCATTGCCGTTACAGCATAATGATTTGGAGCTATGAAATGCAATCTCAGTTTCTAGGTCTTGTCAAATGTTTATCATTCATCAGATTTTTGTCTCAGGATTACTTGATTTCTCTCAGTACTTACGCAGAACTTGCTTTTCTTTGTTAATGTAGCTTTATTACTGAGTGCCCACATATGTGGAGTATGCCGGAGTAGGTTCCTTCTCATTCTCAGTCCCATTCCCTTTTTTGGTTGAATGTAAGAGTGCATTTTAATGTGGCTTCAGTGATTGTATAATGTAAATTGTTTCTTTTTAATGAGAAACTTTGCTTTTGTTTATTACTCTTTCAGTGCTTGATCAGATTTTTTAAAAGCAGGATTTGTCAAGAAGGACATTTTTGTCCACCACTTTTACATTTCTCAGATTCTTAGAGTGGCTCATCTCACCTGTAAGAGGAATATCTCGATCTCTTTGCTATATTCCAGCCATTTATTTGAACACAGGAAAGGTTCTACAAAAGAAATTTTACAAAAAATTGCAGACACGGGAGATATTATAGGTTGTTAAAAAGCAGAATTCACTCAACACTGAGCAACAGAAGGTAGATGGGATTGGAAAGGGAACACTAAATTGAGACCTTTTGGGTGCATCAATTTATCATTGGCTGATAGATATAATCACTTATTCGATGTTTTATATTTTTCACTTATGAGATATAATTTTTGCTAAACACTGAGCAAAGGGTAAGGGGAAAAATGTATTTGCGACATCTCCCAAAATTTACTTCCTTTTTCCCTCCATACAGGCACTATTAAAGTTTTCAGTGACATGTTAAATCTGATTCTTTCATTTGCTTTGAGTTAAGAATTTCTGTGTAGTTTGAAGTCATGATTCTCATAATATTCAGCGTGTAAGTGTAGCAGGAGGGAGATCATAAGGGTGTTGAATGTAATTTTGAAATAGAGCATGGCCTTTAAATCTGAGAGAACGTTTGAATCCTTTTCAGGGATTTGTGTATGGGTGTGTATAGATAAGTGTGTATATGTGTGTATATACATATATACATAGACACACACATACACTCTTCTGATATTGTACATACATATACACATTAGATACCTTTTAATTTATTGACAAAGAAAATCAAATTAAGATTTGGAAAAGTGAGATATTCTTATTTAAAGTAGTGTGTTTGAAATCATCGATTTGTGTCTAAAGTTAGCTGTAGCACAGAGATGTTATCCATACTGGGCTATTTGCGTTTGACTTCTAGAAGTCTACAGTGTTTGTGTTGGCATAGTTTATATAAAAAGATTTTAAAATATCAAGGTAGTGGGAAAATTAGATCTTTGTATTTTTATTTTGGCATGCATTTATAAGATATCTTCTAAGTCATGTTTTCGCTGTTCAGCTGACATTCTATTTTTAAGCTTATTTACTTTATTTTAAGGAGTATGTCTTATCACTTTTGGGAGCATCTTTACTTTTACACAAAATACATATATTCAGGACTTTAAAAAAAAAAATAGCAGTACATGTTTAACAGTAGCAGTTTATGCCAAAAAGTTTTTCTTTGAGAGTTAAGTAAGTTGCAAGCAGAAAGATGTATTTTGTGTGAAATACAAATAGAAAAATTGACCCAGTAACTTAATTGATAACTTACCAATTAAGGATATCAGCTTTTTACCCAATAGCTCCTATAGAATGCCATAATCCTTTAAGACTGAATATTGTCATCTTTTATTTGTAGTAATAATATTTCTGATATTTTTGGCCAAAAGATGCAGATATCACCATTTTTAGAGACAAATTCTTTCTGCTTGCCTAATTCCTTATGGGAGCAGGGCAATGCCTTCTTTGGCTCCACCTACAATAGTAATGTAGGTTCTGCCTCAGTTGGTTAGAAGTAACTCTCATGAATGTCTCTGTTCAATTTCATGTAAACGTTTCAAAGCTTCCATGTCCTTAGGCAGGGAAGTTTATATATACATTGAGTAAATTATCATATAATTTCTCTTCTGTTCCCACCAAATATTTTTGGGCAAAAGATAACAAGCTCAAAGGTATGTGCCCCTCTTCCCCCAATGAGCCACTTAAAAAACCTGAAGTTTGCCAAACTACCCTGTTTCCCCGAAAATAGGACAGTGTCTTATATTAATTTTTTCTCCCAAAGTTGCGCTAGGTCTTATTTTCGGAAAATGTCTTATTTTCAGGGAAACACGGTATTAGCCTATCTCTTAGAAAGCTTAATGTGTACTGCTATTTTTAAAACCAAAAAAGACAGCATGACTATGCGTAAAAGCATTTTTTGTAGCCTTTCCTTTGTCTTAATCTGTTGTTAACAAGAATACTGCCAGACTTAAAATATTCTACTATTGTCCTCAAAGAAATACAGTTTAGATCACACGAAACTTTTCCTTTAAAGACAATAGAACTCAGCCGTCTTTTAAGAGAGCTGTGTTGTTATCTATTTGCAGTCTTTTTTCAGAGCAAATTCTAACAGTTAGTTGTGAGTTGTTTAAAAAAAAAATAGAAAATTACTAAAATATTAGTTTTAGGGGTTTTGTAGAGGGAGGAAAAAAAACTAAACGGGACCAAAGTTTATGTGCCTTCTTCAGTAGTCTTAATTGACCTTTTCTTCCTATTCAAGACTGAGGTAGTATCAGTATTCTGGCTTTCAGGAAGTATGTACTATAGAGTTTTACAAGAATGTTATCCCACAGGCTAGTCATACAAGCGGAGAATGGTAACCGTGTGAACGATGCCTCCGTTACACGTTTGCCTTTGCTGCATAGTATTTATTATATAGCCTTGTGCCAGTTCAAGAACAGAACTGCTCGCTCTAGATCTTTGTGGCGGCCATCTTCGTTTCTGTAACCTGAGGCAGGTGTTCCAGAGAACAGGGATATTTGTCTGGCCCAGTGGCCTTGGTGATGATACTAAATCACCATTGAAAGCTGCTTACGGCAAGCTCGTTCAGCACTGTACACAGATTTTTGTTCTTGTGTTCTTTTCAGTTTTTGAATCTATAGAGTAGCTGTACTAACAAATATTTAAATAGCTATTTTTGATGTCAGACTCTGGCCTTCCCCTCCCCCCACCCATTGTTACCCGGGTATTTAGAAACATTCATCCCACATCCAGAAAGTACTAATTGTGAAGATCGCTGACCAAGCAAAGTTTTGCATCGGAATGTCACCTCATTGCTCTGACCAAAGACTGACTTCTGGTTGTAACTCCTTTCTAGTAAGCGCTTTCCCCCAAGCTCCTTCCCGAAAGAGGACCCAGCGCAGAGCGGCCTTTACTTCCTGTTTCCTGTTGGTGAATAGACTACTTGATATGACTGAGAGAAAAGGGGAGTTTAAATGTGAACAGAGTGGGTTAGGATGACAAGGGTTTGATGGGCATTTTCAGTACTGTACTTAAGAAAAAAAAAATAGCACAGCTAGGAGCCTATGACATTGTCTCGTGTTTTGCGTGGTCTGTTCATAAGATTCCCTTTTTCAGTTTCTAAGAATGTTCATCTAACAGAAGAAGATGCTGTAAATATTTGTAACAACGTGTGTTTTTTTAACCAGGCCAAAAAAAAAAAAAAAAAAAGGAAAAAAAAGGGGGGGGTTTGGGGAACAAGTTAACATATAAAGTGGTTTTATATAAAACATCGATTATCTTGTATATTTTGATAAGCAGCAGTACCAGCTTCATTTGTAACAGTTTGTGGCTTTGGGAAAAAAAAGGATTCTGTTATTGTTGACGTGAACTATGTTATAAATGCAAAGAGAAGATAAAATATTAAAAAAACATATTTTCTAAATGCGTCGTGCATGGTTAATTCAAGCTTCTGTACACTACAGTTTATTCCATTCTCGTTCAGTTTGTATGTTTGACAACTATTACTTGATATCTCTAATCTCTTTTCCTAACAAGTATAGCATTGTAGCATGCCTTTTAATAAATGTCATGACATCTGTACGCTCTTAAAGTTTTTTCTGTGTTCTTGTCTGTACTTTGGGTTTCCCCTTGTCTTACCTGTAATTCTAATGATGTTACATTCTTTAAAAATTTTCCTAGCCATCCATCTAAACTTGTCATATTTAGAGACTAGCAA